AATGAATAAGAAAACCAGGTGGGGGATTTTCCTGCAGCCTTTTGGGGGGATTTTCCCAGGGTTTCTGCAGAAAAAGCAGAAGCAGCAGAGACCCTTTGCCCCCTCCCCTCACTATCTCACGTTGTTCGCAATGCAAGCGACACAAGCCTTGTGTTCCTATGGGCCATGTGGGTGGCACAGCCTTCTGTTTCCATGCAGCTTGGATTAATTGCTTTGGGGGATGCTTTGGGGTTGACATTTCTCTGCAGACCACCAAAATTTTGTCATGGACCACCAGTGGTTCCCGGCCCACCGGTTGGTGAACCCTGCTTTACAGCCTTATCTAAGTGGTTTACAGAGTCAGCATATTGACAACAATCTGGTTCTTCATTTTACTGACCATGGAAAGATGGAAGGCTGAGTCAACCTTGAGCCGATCAGGATCAAACCGATAACTTTAACATGACATTTAATGTTCCAATGATTTGTCCAATCTATTTATCAAATAGAAATTATCTCTACTTATATTGCTTGAATTTCTTTTATAAATTTAACTGACTATTAGGTCTTTGTTTATAAATCTAATCGACTATTTTCCAGCTATACCAGACAGGGTCACTAAAAACATCCATATAGCCATTCCGTAGAAACAATAATTTGGACTTTCGAATTTTCTCTGTAATTGAACCTGAACTAGGTTCTTATTTTAGACAAACCTATCTATAATTAAAATTTTCAATTTTTGGTGGAGGATTCTTTCATCTGAATTCTTTTAAACCCTAACAATTTATCCAGAATGGGCCTACTGGAACAGATTGGCATTTCATATCTACCACATGGGCAAACCAAGTTATTTTGTAATGTTTATAAATTCAGTCCTTTTTTTAATGTTGGCTACTGGTGACTGCCTGAATAAGTCCCTGAAATTTCCTTGCCAAGTTTTTTTTTTTTTTGAGGGGGGTGGGGAGGAGAAGTGGTTTGCCATTACCTCTTTCTTAGAACTGAAAGTGAGTAGCCCAGGCTCAATAGAACTTACAGTCTCCTGGTTTGTATCCTGGTGCCTTAACCACTACATTAAATTGTCTCTCCATCTAATGCTCCATCCATTAATTCCATTCAGAATTTTAGTTTTTAGATTACAGTATGCTCATACTATGAATAGTAAGAACTATCATTAATTACTCTCCTGGTTTGCTTCAATGGTCAAATGACTCTTGCCAGATAAGAGAATACCAAAAACTAAAAAACCCTAAGTCTCAAGTTGCCTGAGATGAAAGTAGTAAAACAAAACCTATCCCCAAGCTAAGGAAAATATCTGAGCTATCATATTGTCAGATTGTAATATAAATCACAGTATAAACAAACTCAGGCAATTCACCAAAATGAGAAAACTGTAAAATGTTCTAGGACAGTAAAAAAAAAAACTGTTCCAGAAGTAGAGGCAATTCAAAATGTAGCTTAAAAATATGAGAATGTCTTTAGCTGTAGGCCTTCATCTCCAGAAAAAGCAATCAATATCCACATGGATTTCAACACAGTATGGATTTTAAAATGCTAACTATAAAAATTTAAAGTTCATCAGATGCAAATCCTGAGACCAAAAGATTTTCATTAATATCATATTGGACCTCAATTACTGGTTTCAAATGTCTAGACTTGTATAACTTTGCCTTTGCTCATGGATTGCAGTAACTTTCATCAATAAGAAGTATAATCTTGTCCACTTGAATCCTGCTGATGTCATCAACCACCATTGTTGACAAAAGGAGTTTATCATATCATATTCTTGACTGTTCTTATAATTGGCAAGTCCAGGAATATTTTTGCCTTCTCCATCAGCAGTTTTCTCATTTTTCTATTCTATATAAATGCATATTTTATGTTAAAAAATCCATGTATAACAATTGTCAAGATTAAGGCATCTTGGCTCAATCAACTGTCCTAACTGTCTCACCATCAATAACTGATATTTCCCCAATCTTGACAATCCCTTTCTGAAGGTGTGCTTCTTGGTATAAAAACAACTTCAACTGCATAATTACCCAGTGTTTTCCTTATGAAAAAAATAAAGACAGGAAGACAGAATAAAAAACTGATGCCCTGTCCTCGCCAGTATCGATGATAGATCAGGTAAATTCCTAGAAAACAACTATTTAAAAAAATCTTAGATTTATCAATGGTTAGATAATAAAATATAATGATAGAATATTCAGATTTAGCATAAAAAAATTTTTTTTTCTTGATATTATCTTTATAAAACATTATTAAGGTAGATTTGGTATGATCTTATGATTTATTGCAAAATAAATTAAGCAAACTATAGTTATCTCGTTAAAATATGAATTAACAAAATTATAAATGATTTTTTTAGTGATGATATTAGGTTATACAATTATTGATTGATAATATGAGCTATTATGTAATATAATTATACTAGTGACTAGGAAATGGATGCACAAAAAAAAGTGGTAAACCAATCGATGCACTGTATGTAAATTCATGAAGAAGGATATTTTTATGTTTTTTGTGGTATGTTTATATTTATCTTGTTATGTATGCTTATGTTTATCTTGTTATTAAAAAATAAAAAATAAAATTATAAAAAAGAAAAAAACAAAACAAAACAAAATCTTAGAAAACAAATTTCAAATATCTCCTTCCCTCTTAGTATTTTTGTGCAACTTGAATACATATCTAGCAAAATAAAAACAATTAAGATCTTTTAGTTTTCAGGCAGAAATTTCAATAGGCATTTCTAAACTAATACTTTAGAAAACTTTCCAAGGTTCTGAACCACTTGAGACAATTTCCCTCAGTGACATAGCTTCTGCATAGCATCACCCAATCATCACTTAAATGGTATAGCCTTATGAACTATTATTTTGGTGCAGTGATGTTTACATAACTCTCCAAAAATATATGTGAAATTGTTCTCAATGCTTTCTTTCCTATAAAATAAATATCAGAGACAAAATTGAATTGAATTGATTACTTTTATTTGGCCAAGTGTGATTAGACACATAAAAATTTTGTCTCTAGTGTAGGTCTCATGAAAGTAGAATGCCATGAAAGTAGCCTCTAGCACAAAAATTCTGGCAATTACAGTACATTTCATAAATGCATGCGGAGATTATAAATTTCCAAAAATTAGGTGAATTCATTTGATATCAACCCACTTCAAGTTAGAGACAAAATAAATAAATTCCTTCTATAATCTTTTCTTCTTCTGGATTATTTTTAATTACCTATAAATTACCTGATTTATATTAATATTTATATAAAGTGAGACCCTTAATCTTTGTATCAAAATGATAGTGAAAATACAAGATTTTCCTAGATTAAATTAAACAAACTGTAAGTATATTTAGTCTCAACTTTTTAAACAGCTTGAATGCATGCACGGTTCATTTGCTTTGTGCATATGTATGAGAAAAGAGGTAAACCTTCGGCTTATTTTTCCTGCATGAAATGCAGTAAATTGAAAAAAAAAGGCTATTTACTGAAACCCTTCATGTTGAAGAACAAGCTGGTAAAATTGCCTGTTTTCTTGTACAAAATAAAAAAGGAAATTTGAGACTGACTGAAAGTGTTTGGTTCTCCTTTATACAGTATAATGTCACAACTGAACTCTTCCTTCCTTTATTTATGTAGCACCATAGCTCTCCATTAAAATCATGCTAGTTTTCCTCTCGCTTGCTGTCATACTTTTCCATAATACATCTTGAATCCATCTTGGTCAATACATTCTTTATCCCATCAACAAGAAAACATTACTCAGTAAGGACCTTGGAAAGACTGAACCACTAACTCCTTCAGATGAGACTGAGAAAAGGAAACGGATGCATTGTAATATTCTAATAGGAAAGGGGATGGAAAAGGTGCTAATACTTCACAGCTTAAGTGGGGTTTTTTTTTACATTATTTGTAGGAGTAACAGCAGTAGTAATGTTTCATTTCCCTTTTTTAAAGGTATGAAGTAAGACTTAATTATACCACCAGTACTGCCAAAACTCAACAGAACCTTAAATGAAAGCACATATCAAAAGCAAAAAAGCAAAGCAAAATAAAACAAAACCAGAATAGTGATATTCAGACGCCTCAAGTGCTTTGCTATCTTAAAGAAAAATTTTATGCAGGGTACACAGATGGTGATAAATCTATTATTGTTATTGTTTTAAATATTTTATTAATACAGGACATTTTTTTTTATCATTCTGTATAATAGAACCAAAAAGCTACTTGCTATGTAAATCAATATCTTCGGGTAAGGAATAAAGATCAAAGCTAAGGCTATTGGTAAGAATGTCAATGAAGGATTATTTAAAATTATAATCCTAAGAAAAAACATAAATATTTGTAATAGAAATAATCCATAAAAAATCATTAGGTAAAGATATTTATTTGAAACAATTAATGATAACTTGGCTATTTTGTGATAGTTATTGATTGGCTTATTTGCAATTGTTAGAATTAAGAATTATATGTCTATATATACACACAGTGAGAGCTACTAAAATTCTGAGAGTTTAAAAATCAAAATATTTTTATGCCATATGATGTATTATTTATTCTAAAGAAATAAAGAGCCAGGCACTTCTAAAAAGTCAATGATCATTCAAAAATTTTCTATTAAAATAAGCTATAGATATTTTCGTTCATTTTAAGGCTTACATAATATATTACTATAGATTCTTAAAATATTAAAATTTGTTTATTTCTTTGTTTAAATAGCCACAGAACTGTTTATATTATTTTATAGTATAGTATATCTTGACTTTTCCTCTATGAACAACCAGAGATTGACATAGTGTACTCTTTGAAAGGAAAATTGGACTGTGATCATAAATGCATGTAGCAAATGTGAACAAATAATACAGGCTGTTCTTATGATGTTTTAATCTAATAAGAACCAATAACATTTTTATAGTTCATCACATAGGTCACTGTAGAATTCCTACAGTGTATGCTTCAATAAATTGTGCAAATTGGCCAACTGGCTGGTTCATGATTAGTGTACTTACCATCTTCAGTTGGTACATAGATGTTCAGATAAAGGCAGTCTTCATTTTGATCTTGCACATAGGTCATTACAGTATCCAAGTTGGCAGTAAACCAAACCGGTAGCATATCATTAAGCAGTGATCTCTCATCCAGATACTGTGGGCAAACAGCAGCAAATTGTGTAGCATTCCGTATCCCAGTCCATGAAGAAGGAGGTTCTGGAGGTTGGAAACGTCTCTCTCCAGTTGGAGGAGAAGCATAAGGGACTCCCAAATACTGTTCCACAGGACCAAGGATTTCATTGGGCAGGGGTGTTCTTACACCACGGATTTTGCCATAATTTGTAGTTACAATTGGGTATTGTGCTTGACCCTCAATAAGTGTAAAACGTATTGATAGGGCAGTTATCCAAAGGAGCAAATTAGAATTCAGCATGACACAAAGAGGAGTAAAAATTAAAGACAGCCATAAGAGTCCCACCGGCTTTGACATGGTTTCACATCAGCATTAGCAGGTCCTGAGGACGTTCACACCCAGGCAGAAAAACAAATTTTGCAGAAAAAATCTGAAGCAACAGTGAAGATTAGAAAAATGTATGAGGTGTATGAGAAAGAGAATAATTTACCAAGGATAATGTAAAGTATTCTTGGTCAAGCAGAGAAAACCCTATTTAAATATGGTAGGTATCTCAGCAGATTAAACCTAGACAGTTCCCAGGAACACAAACAGCAATGGACTTCTTCTGGCTACAGTCCATCCCTTGGCTCTTCTGTTTAATGCTGATGTCACTTATCCAAGAAGATAAGATGCCCAGATACTTAGAGCCTACTATGCAAATCCATTTGAGTTAAGTCCATCATGATGAAGAACCCTGCAGGGAAGAAAAAGGGAGAAATAAAGAATTATAGTTTACTAATAAGAGTTCTTTTTAAAAAAAATACAGTTGTATTATTTTGTCACAATTTTATCCCCTCTGTCTATTACTGTAAAATAAGCATCAGGATGCAAGAACAGCTCATTCATGAATCATATTGGAATACTCTATCTCTCTCCAGCAGGTCACTAGCAGCCATGGTTTAATTATCATTCTAAACATAAGCTACCATGTCCGCTGGAGAAGAAGTGCCATGTACAAAACCTAAAAGTAACAATGAAAAATCCTGAACATCTTTAGCATGCTTATGCATAAGCAAGTATTCTCACAAGCATCCAATTTTTTTCTACATTTAAACATTTAAAATGGCTATATTTGTCTTTTATTCTAGAAAATCAACACAGTTGAACAGGTTTCAGAAATATTGGGTGTGAGTCTTGTTTACTTGAAAACATATCAGGAGACTTTCCATTTTTGTGAAAAGCATTATTTAATGTATAACAGAAACATAGGAACTCTCTTATACCAGCTGTATGTAGATGGTCCTTAACCAGGGGTGGAATTCAATTTTTAAAACAACTGGTTCTGTGGGCGTGGCTTAGTTGGTGGGCATGGCTTGGTGGTCATGTGACTGGCTGGGCGTGGCCAACTCAACATCACTCACATCAAGGCACGCATCTCCTCGCCTGGCCGCTCATGACTGTGGGGATGCTGCAATAGTCATAAGTGTGAAAAATGGTTATAAGTCACTTTTTTCAGTGCCAATGTAACTTTGAATGGTCATTCCATGCAAGCAAAGTACCAGCAAAGGAGGGGGAAAAAAACTCCAGAGAAGTTCCAGAGACAGGAAGTCTAACCAAGAATGTAAAAAGGATTAATGGAGAGGCAGTTTTTGTAAGCAACACCAAAAGTTACAATGGCAGTGAAAAAAGTGACCTATAACTATTTTTCACACTTATGACTGTTGTAGCATCTCCATAGTCACGTGATCAAAATTCAGATGCTTGGCAACTGACTCATATTTATAATGGTTGCAGTGTTGCAGGGTCATCTTTTGTAATTTTCTGGCAAGCAAAGTCAATGGGAAAGCCAGATTTATTTAATAACTATGTTACTAACTTAACAACTGCAGTGATTGACTTAATAACTGTGGCAAGAAAGGTTGTAAAACGGGGCAAAACTCACTTAACAAATGTCTCACTTAGCAACAGAAATGTTGGCTCAATTGCAGCCGTAAGTCTAAAACTATTTGTAGTTCAGTATGCTAATCAGGCTCTGGACAACTATGTAGTCCAGTAATTTAAGACTCCTGTTTGTACCATACAGAGGATGGGAGTTGCAATCCAAAACATCTCAAGAACTGTCTATATCAGTTATGGACTCTGTGAATGAACTGAGCCACAATTCATGAAAACTTATGGTTTTAAATAAATTCTTCTAGTCAGATAAGGGTGCTTCCAGACTCCCCCTTATTTTACACCATTCTAGGCTAATGCAACAGCTCCTTCTCTACAAAAATCTATAAAAATCTAGCTTGTCCTCTTAATAGCTCCTTTCCAAAATTCAGGTAAAGAATCTTTGCAGCCCAGTCCAACAGTTCAAGGATTAAGCAGAATATTTTTGTATACTTAACATCTCCTCTGCCAATGGCTATTACTTCTGGGCATCTCTATCACTTTTATTGATCCAATGCACATTTTTATATATTGCCCATCCCTCAGTCTGGTATATCTAAAAGTAATTTTAGCCTAATCATTGCCTGTAAGCAAAATACTGATCTTTTTGATTATATTCTATTTGCAGTAAGAATAAGAAGTGTCAGTTCCAGTAATTTTCTACATCAGAACCTAAACATACAGCAAATGAAATTTCTAGGAGATCTTGAGGAAATAGACACTAAATGTTATCAGGCTAGGTATTTTCAGTTTGTCCTGAGGGTATATTCTATTTTTAACATGGCTCTTTATATTCACCATTAGCTAGTTTTGTCACAATATCAAGTAGTTTCCACAGAATCCTGATTTGTAGAAAGTAAGCAGAAACAAATTTGCTTTTCTATTAAGGTTGGACAGGGAAAGAACAAATAAAGACTAATTTATACCAAGCCACAGTCATTTCCACTAACCATAGTTAAGAGTAGAGGTATAAGGACTATGCAAGCTTCAAAAAATGACTCAGAAGTGAACAATACATATTTAATGTGATTTAAAAGCAACTATAGTTTTTTGTCAGCTTCACATGGAAACCTGAAAAAAGATATCTGAGAGAAGTTACACATACAATCATGTGAGGACCAAATCATTTGTTTCAAACTGTTTTCAAAATATGAAAGGCAGCACTAATTAATAAGTGATATTTTATTTCTGCAGAATATATTTTGACATCTGTAAGATGTTTGACTTTCCAAAGATGAGGGAAGAGGAACAATCTACCTAATATTGCCTCTAGCTTCATCTACTACTACTACGTCATTCTCAACAACATATAATACCTGCAAGAAGGCAGGGGAACAAAAGTTCTACTACTACCTGTTTTTTAAAATCTCAATACTTTTTTCAATTAAAAAAAAACATATTTGGAAAATAAAAACTACTATCACAAAAAGAAATGTTATAATTAATGAAAGGAAACCATGATAATCTCATTTTTGTAAACAATAATAATAAACATCAAAATCATCTGTCAGATTATCCCATCTCCTTTAGAAGGACAATCTGAAGCAGTATGAAAAAAACCCATCTGAAATAGAACCGCTGCTCAGCACTGTCTACAGGTGAAACTCGAAAAATTAGAATATCGTGCAAAAGTTCATTTATTTCAGTAATGCTACTTAAAAGGTGAACCTAATAAATAAGATAGACTCATTACATGCAAAGCAAGATAGTTCATGCTGTGATTTGTCATAATTGAGATGATTATGGCTTACAGCTCATGAAAACCCCAAATCCACAATCTCAGAAAATTAGAATATTACATGCAATCATTAAAACAAGGATTGTACATAGAACAATAGCGGACTTCTGAAAAGTATAAGCATGCATATGTACTCAGTACTTGGTTTGGGCCCTTTTTGCAGCAATTATTGCCTCAATGCGGCGTGGCATGGAAGCTATCAGCCTGTGGCACTGCTGAGGTGTTATGGAAGACCAGGATGCTTCAATAGCAGCCTTCAGCTCTTCTGCATTGTTCAGTCTCATGTCTCTCATCTTTCTCTTGGCAATGCCCCATAGATTCTCTATGGGGTTCAGGTCAGGGGAGTTTGCTGGCCAATCAAGCACAGTAATCCCATGGTCATTGAACCAGGTTTTTGGTGCTTTTGACAGTGTGGGCAAGTGCCAAGTCCTGCTGGAAAATGAAGTCAGCATCCTCATAAAGCTCGTCTGAGGAAGGAAGCATGAAGTGCTCCAAAATCTCCTGGTAGATGGCTGCGTTGACCCTGGACTTAATGAAGCACAGTGGATCAACATCAGCAGATGACATGGCTCCCCAAATCAGCACAGACCGTGGAAACTTCACACTGGACTTCAAGCATCTTGCAGTGTGTGTCTCTCCATTCTGCCTCCAGACTCTGGGTCCTTGGTTTCCAAATGAGATGGAAAAGTTGCTCTCATCAGAAAAGAGGACTTTGGACCACTGAGCAACAGACCAGGTCTGTTTTTCTTTAGCCCAGGTAAGAGGCTTCTGACGTTGTTTATTGTTCAAGAGCGGATTGACAAGAGGAATACGACATTTGAAGCCCATGTCCAGGATCCGTCTGTGTGTGGTGGCTCTTGATGCACTGACTCCAGCCTCAGTCCACTCCTTGTGAAAGTCCCCAACACTTTTGAATGGCCTTTTCCTGACAATCCTCTCCAGGCTGTGGTCATCCCTGCTGCTTGTGCACCTTTTTCTTCCACACTTTTCCCTTCCACATAACTTTCTATTAATGTGCTTTCATACAGCTCTTTGGGAACATCTGACTTCGTTTGCAACTACCTTTTGAGGCTTTCCCTCCTTATGGAGGGTGTCAATGATGGTTTTCTGCACAACTGTCAGGTCAACAGTCTTTCCCATGATTGTGATTCCTACTGAACCAGACTGAGAGACCATTTAAAGGCTCAGGAACCCTTTGCAGGTGTTATGGCGTAATTAGCTGATTAGAGTAGGACACTTTGAGCCTAGAATATTGACCCTTTTCACAATATTCTAATTTTCTGAGATTGTCGATTTGGGGTTTTCATGAGCTGAAAGCCATAATCATCTCAATTATGCCACATCACAGCTTAAACTATCTTGCTTTGCATGTAATGAGTCTCTCTCATATATTAGTTTCACCTTTTAAGTTGCATTACTGAAATAAATGAATTTTTGCACAATATTCTAATTTTTTGAGTTTCATCTGTATATATAAAGCAAAGATATTGCAATGGAGTTTGAATTGGACAAATGTCCTACCTTCACCATCAACAGGGGGAAAATGGTGAACAATGAAGGAATCAAAATGCCTATAGAAATATTATAAAGAGTCCAGATGAAGACGATCACTATAAATAAATGGGCATCCTTCAAGTGGACAACATCAAGCACACTGAAGCCAAAAAGGCTAGAAGTGAATAATCATGAAAGTGAAGAACAAGTT